GAGGAAGAAGAGGAGGAAGAAGAAGAGGAAGAAGAAGAGGAAGAAGAAGAGGAAGAAGAAGAGGAAGAAGAAGAGGAAGAAGAAGCGGAAGAAGAAGCGGAAGAAGAAGAAGGAGGAGGAGGAGGAGAGAGGAGGAGGAGGAGGAAGAGGAGGAATGACAAGACACTGATTATTGTTAAAGCTGAATGATGGTTCTATAGGAAGTTATTATACTGTTTTATCCACTTTAAACATTTGAAAATTTCCATGTAGAAAGCATTTTAGGCTATGCACCAGTTCCTCATACCTGTAACCTTAGGTACTTAAGAAAATGAGATAGGGAATATCACAGTTTGAGGCCAGCCTGGCTAGAAAAGTTCTTGAAGACCTCCTCTGACTTGAAAGCTGTTCAAGTGGCACATGCCTGTTATCTTAGGTACAATGGAAAGCCTCAAACAGGCATATGACAGCCCAGGCATGTGCCCAGGAAGGAAGTGTGACTTTCTTAAAAACAACCACTGCAAAAAAAAAAAATAGCTTGGAGCTATGACTTAGATGTAGAGCACTTGCTATCAAGTGTGAGGCCCTAACTTCAAAACCCAGTACACATAAAAACAAAATCAACAAAACCAAACAAAAACCAGTATTTTAGATTCTACATTTTGTGTTTCCTATGGTTATTTCATGAACACTCACATACCACATTTTTGTCAATCGTAAACCACAAGTTTGATGGTAAGCATACCACATAGCCTAGGTTTGTAGGCATTTTCCTGTCATTAAGTAAGTCATTAGTGTATGTCTTGCCTTAGAAAACATTGAAGGAAAGCCTTGAGAGACCATGTTCCCTACTCCTTAATTTCCTCTTGAAGACTAAATCAAATGTCCCAAGTGAGGTAGACCCTAGAGGTGGCCACCATTCTGGAGCTTAGTGGATTAAGGCCTGGAGCTGACATCAAAGGGAGCTCTTGAAAGTTTCCTTTCTAATCTCTAGTCCAGGTGTATTGTGGAGGCACTATGGTAGAGAGGCAAAAACATGGCCAATTTTTTTTTATCCTGCCTTTCTCCTTACCACCTGTGAGAGTTAAATGAGAAAAAGAAGAAGAAAAGAATATCAAAGAACCCAACAATTGTAGATGCCAAATGAATGGTAGTCTCCAAAATCATATACCCCCCATTCTATTGCTTTGTCAGTCCCCCAAACTCCACTGAGACTTCCCAATTTCATATATACTGAGACTTTTAGATTTACAAGGGTTATACACACTCCCCCACACAGAAAACAGAAGAAGAAGAAAGAAGAAGAAGAAGAAAAGAAGAAGAAGAAGAAGAAGAAGAAGAAGAAGAAGAAGAAGAAGAAGAAGAAGAAGAAGAAGAAGAAGAAGAAGAAGTTGATACCCTATAATTAAAAAAAATTGTGAGTTGAACCATTTAAGTCAGGCACTGTCCACTGAAGTGTGTATGTGTGTGTGTGTGTGTGTGTGTGTGTGTGTGTGTGTGTGTGTAATAGTTGATTTACCAGTTACTATTCCCAGATCTCCAAGCATGACTTACCAGTTACTTTTTCCACATCTGCAGGCGTGTCTTTTTTTGCTGAAGTTCTATGCAAGGGGAATGACATAGATCTGGGTTTAGTTGCCCAATACACATGTGGAAACTCAGATATGGTGGTGTAGCCTTTCTTAGGGAAAAACAGCATATCAATGGAGTCTGGATGGAGCACTGGAAAACAAAAACCAAGATAAGGTGGCTTTTCTAGCAAGTGTGTGGAGGAAAATGAGGTCAAGAGAGAAATGGTTTAATTATTCCTTATTTCTTTTAAATATAGTTGCCTTTTGTATCTGAAGGTTCTATCTCCTTAGGCTCAAGCAATCACACACTGACAATATAAAGAAAAAATTCATCTGTGCATCTTCATCATTTTTCTAAACACTACAGTATAGCAATTATGACATTTGTAGTGGATTTGGCATTGTAAGTGATCTAGAGATGATTTAAAGCATATGAGGGGATTGAATATTCTAAGCAAATACTATATCATTTTATATAAGGTACTTGAGTAGCCATGGATTTTGGTATCCAAATGGAGCCCTAAAAATAATTCCTCACAACTATACATACAAAATTGATTTGGCACAACTATACATACAAAATAAATTTGGGAAGTTGTATCTGTTTTTATTTGGGGACTTTGAGTTACTATGGAAAAATCTCAGAAAACTTCAACTGGTTAAACTTTGCCAGGCAATCCAAGATGCAAAATCCATTAGAGTTCTACATGCAAGGAGAGAAATCATGAATGGGAGCTACGAGAGGAATTGCTTCTCTGAAGTTCTCTGTGAGTTTCCTTTAAAGATAAGAATTAAACCAGGCACTGTTGGCTCACAGCTGTAGTTGTTACTCGGGAGGCTAAGGTTCAAGGATTGTGGTCTAAAGGCAGCTTGGGCAGGAAAGTTAATGAGACTCTTATCTCCAATTAACTACCAAAAGGTAGGAAGTGAGGCTGTGGCTCAAGTGGCAGAGCACCAGACCTGAACAATAAAGCTAAAGTACAACCCCCAGGCTTTGAGTTCAAGCCCCAAAGCAGCAAAACAAATACATAAATTAGTAGTAATTTTTTTTTAAAGGACCTAGTCTTTCACTCTGAACACTTTCCAGTCATAAACTGGTCTCCACCTGCAGTCCTGAATTCTTGCTATCTTACCTTTGGGGGCCCTCTGATCTCACTCTCTATGAACTTGTTTACCTGAGACCTTGTTCCACTCTCTCAGAAACAGGACTCTGATCACACTCGCAGCAGTAAACAGTAGTTTTTCATTGCACATCTGCAGCAGGAAGACAGTAAAATTTGCCTTGGTCCAGTAGGTGCTGTCGCAAAACCAGTACAAGATCTCCTTCATCTTCTCCTCTGCGGTTTTCTCCAACAACTGGTTCAAGGAGGACTTCACAGACTTCTCCTTCTTCCTCTCCAGCCTGCTGAGGGAGATCCGGGATCTATTATAGATAAAATCCTTTCCCTGAGTGGTCTGCAGGATATTTTGGAAATAGTGTAGTAAGTACAAGCTATTTAACTGAAGTAGAATGCTAACTAGAAACCTCATCTGTGTCATGTCGCTGACCCTTTGGAACCACTCTTTAGTAGAAAAGATCTTCCATGCTAAGATACACGTTTCACACTTCTGGCACAGAGGGAGCGAATCATTTCCCTTTTGACAACGAAAATAAGGGGTTTGCTTAAGATTCGGTTCCATGTTTTCCAGGAGCCTGAGATAATCAGTTCATTTTATCCTTGCCAGTTAGCAAACCACCAAACACCAAAGTGACAGGAGAAGTGGAGAAATGTCCTAATCAAGCCTTTCTATTATAAATAAATGAGGAAAAAAAATAAGCCACGGCAATGGGCAGAAAACTTATCTGTCCTAGAAACTGCCAGTAGAAGTCTGGCTTTCTGTACAGAACTCCTTGGAAACCTAACTTTACCGTAAATCTTCTAAACTTAGCACTGTATAATTGGAGGCAGTTGCTGTATATGCTGAAAGAGTGGTTCATCTCATTTCTAGAAGAATGTTTTTTAGTCAAATCTAAGTAAAAAAATCATGGAGACTGTGTTGAGCTTCAGTTGCTTATCAATAACTTGAATATTCAAGAATATAAACAGATATAAGTTCATTATATTTATATTTATTCATTTATATGGTAGATATCCCAAAAGTCCTGAATATGTTTATATTGTCTTATCATCAAAGTAAAATCACAAATTTTTATTATAAATTTAGGCTGGTTAACTGATTCAGAAGGATAATCAGAAATCTCTGTTGATCTTTAAAATTAAAGTCTGCATATTATTTTAGCTCCTAGCCATTGGGATATTGCTTAAAGCCCTCCTGTTGATTGTACTGGAACATATCTGATATATGTTTATGCTTGTACATACACACACATATATATGATATACTTAACAAAAGCTGTTTTATACATATGCACATTTTAACATGGACATATTCCACTCATATTCTAATTCTCCTCTTCTAACTTTATAAACTCCTTCACAAACAACACATTGGAAATTTTAATCATTAAAATAATGCCCCTGGAGCCTGGTGCTGGTGGCTCACGCCTGTAATCCTAGCTACTCAGGAGGCTAAGATCTGAGGATCATGGTTCAAAGCCAGCCTGGGCAGATAAGTCCAGGCTAGACTTATCTTCAATTAACCACTCAAAACCCAGAAGTGGCCCTGTGGTGCAAGTGGTAGAGTGCTCCCCTTGAGCACAAAGAGGCTCAGGGACTGCTCCCAAGGCCCTGAGTTCAGGCTCCACAACCAGAAAAAAAAAAAAAAGCAATGACTGTAATAACCCGTGAGGACCCAATAATCAGCAGGACCCCAGTAGTCAGCGTGGCTCCATGGTCTGGGCCTGCTGCAGGGTGCGGGGGCATCAAAAGGCCAGCCTCCTGCTCTACAGGCCACAGCGGCTGACATCACTGCCACAGTCATGCAGCCGAAGGGGGCGGGGAATGCCGCTGAAAGGGGCGGGGCATACTACTGGAGGAGGTGGGGTGTCCAGCCCCACATGGCCAGCTGCCTATTGGGATTGGACGGGGGTCAGCTTGGGGAGGAGCATGATTGGCCGTTTGAAACCATTAGCCGGGGAGCCTATCTGGGTGTATACAGGCTGCGGTGTATACACCTATCCGGGTGTATACAGCTTTGGAGGTCTGAGGTTGGGAGGTTTGCTAATACTAATTTGGTGGTTTTCAGACCAACTAATCAGGGTCGGGGCTGCCTATTGGAGGCTTGGAGGTTTGGTGATTGAGACTGCTCTTGGTTCTGGGTATCTAGCCCAGGACAAGGTAGTCTCAGGACCCCCTTTCTGGTGTAAATAGTGTAAATAAACTTCTTTTGCTCACCTTTCACTGTGCTTCGATGGATTGTCTCACTCTCCGGAGGTCATAAGTATAACAAGACAATGTAATAAAAACATATCAATTTGGTTTTTCTCTCAAAAAAATCTTCTTGTTCTACATTCACCCTTCTTCCTATGATGCTATCAATAGTTCAGACTCAGTTTGACCTGGAATGACTGACATCTTGGAAAGTAAGACTATAGACCTAAAGAACTACTATATTGTTAGTGAGATTGTTATTTTGAGCAAGCAATCCTAGTCCACTACAATATGTAGGTAATATACATTCTATATTGAAATGGATGTAAAATATGTATGGGTATGGGTAGTTTTTAAAACAAAAAATGACACAAAAATGTAAGTCTAAACTGTTTTTTTTGGGGGGGGTCCAGTTGTGGGGCCTGAACTCTGGGTCTGGGCGCTGTCCCTCAGCTCTTCAGCTCAAGGCTAGTGCCCTACCACTTGAGCCACAGCGCCACTTCCAGCTTTTTTCTTTTTGCTTCTGTGGTGCTGAGGAATCGAACCCAGGGCCTCATGCATGCAAGGCAAGCGCTCTACCACTGAGCCACCTTCCCAGCACAGTCTAACCTGTTTTATGAGAGTTTTACTCTTTGGCTCTGGTTTATGATACATTCAGGAGTTATGTTAGGGCTACCAATGACTACCAGTCTGCAGTTTGACCAAGACTATGCATACTTCTTGCCCCTACTTCAACTCTTCTATTTAAACTTAGTTTGTCAGACACCAGTGGCTCATACCTGTAATCCTAGCTGCTTAGGAGGCTGGGTCTAAGGATTACAGTTTGAAGTCATTCCGTGCAGAAATGTCCTCCAGCTTATCTCCAATTAGCCAGCAAAAAAAGCTGAATTAGAGCTGTGCTTTAAGTCGTAGGGTACAAGCTGTAGGCAAGCAAACTGAACCAGAATTTGAGGTCCCGAGTTAAAGCACCATTAGGGAGGGAAGGAGGGAGGAAATAAGGAAGGAAGGAAGGATTTCAGGGTCATGCCAGTACCCTGAAGGGCTAAACCATTCACTTTCCTTCTTCCTGTGTCCTTGTGTTATATTAACTAGATCTCCTTTCTCAGCCCTCTGTATCTTTATTGGCATGTTGGGATGGGTGATAGGAACCAAACGTGTTAGGACTCCTGAAGCCAAGGCTTTTGCTCTGAAATGTCTGTTGCAATATAGGTTAAGAGTATCCCTAAATCTTCCAAAATCTACAACATTTTGAGCATTCACATTACATCACAAGTGGAAAATTTGCATCATAAAACTTTATTTCATGCACAAAATTATTTAAAATATAGTATATAATCACTTTCAGAGTATGTGTTTAAGTGAAATCTGTGTTTGGACTTGGGCCTGTCCATAAGAAACCTCATTGTGTATGTTCAAATATTCCAAAATGTAAATATTTGAAATCTGACACACTTCTAGTTAGGAATAAGGGTCCCTCAACCTATAAGACACTTGTTGGCAAAGGTAAACAAAGAGAAGCTGTTATTCACGAGGAGACAGTGAGTTTCCAAGTCACTTATTTGTAATTTTATTTTTTTATTTTTTTGTTGCACGTGGGGCTTGAACTCTGGGCTTAGGTGCTGTCCCTATACTCTTCAGCTCAAAGCAAGCGCTCTACCACTTGAGCCACAGTGCCACTTCCAGTTTTCTAGTGGTTTATTGTAGGTAAGAGTCTCACAGACTTTCCTGCCTGGACTGGCTTTGAACTGTGATCCTCAGATCTCAGCCACCTGAGTAGCTCAGATTACAGGTGTGAGCCACCATTGCCCGGCTTGTCGGTGATTTTAAAGGAGCAGGTGGTGAAACAAAGGTATTTAAAGTCAACTTAATGGAAAACTTAATACCAAAGGAGTTATAATTTACTTAAAAAAGAAAAAAAAAGTTCCTTTGGATCATTTAGAGATTCCAGTCTAAGATCAGGCAGACTCATTGCTTTGGCCTCTGGTGGGGGCACCAGATAACAATGGTATGAAGGACCAGACAGAGCAAACTGCCCACTTCATGAGCCAGGAAGCAGAGAAAAGAAGGAAGGGGCTGGGAATGTGGCTTAGTGGTAGAGTGCTTGCCTAGCATGCATGAAGCCCTCAGTACCACAGAAACTGAAAAAGCTGGAAGTGGCACTGTGGCTCACGTGGTAGAGTGCTAGTCTTGAGCAAAAGAAGTTCAGGGATAGTGCCCAGATCCTGAGTTCAAGCCCCAGGGCTGGTGTGGTGGTGGGGAGAGAGAGAGACAGAGACAGAGAGAGAGGGAGGGAGGGAGGGAGAGACTGATGCCTGATAACCCCCTAGTAGGTTACCCCCCCACACACACACAAGGACCTAGGGATCTCCCACCAGGCCCCACCTCTTAAAGGTTCTACCGCATCCCAACAGGTCCATCCTGGGGGCCAAGCCTGCAATACATGGAACCTGGGGAGGGGGGCATTCATTCAAATAAAATTGAGAATAATATTCTCAAGAAGGAAGGACATTCTCAAGGAGGTAGTTGGGAGGTCCATTATAAAAGTCGTAAGGCTGCCCAGTTTAATCTCTCAACAATGCTTTCACTTGTCTTTTTCCACCCTGGGTTGAGGCAGCGACAAGGCCTTCACCAGATGTAAAGTCCCTTGACTTTGGACTTCCCAGCCTCCAAAAATGTAAAAATAAATTATTTATTTATTTATGAATAAAATAACTTTACCTTCTTTATAACTTACCCAGTCACTGGTAGTCTGTTATAGCAATACAAAATTGACTAAGATAAAGGGATAAGGGCTCCATGGCTGAGCCAATATTGGTATCTGGTCATTTCATTGTGAATCACTGGATAATGTAGGACTGAATGACATTCCTGGAAGAGAATTCATTTGGATTTCCAAAAGTTGGGACAAAAATAGTAGTTAAAAGTACATTCTGACTGGTTTAGTCATGGAATAAAAATGATTTGTCACCAAAGCAAGCTCCTGATGAATTCAGGTTCATTTCCATTTTTTTATTTTAGGCAAATCTACACAATGGAAGAGAAAATAAGAGCCAGAGGGAAATGCCAGGAGACCTATAAAATAGGCCTCTGTTCTCTCTTTTTGCTTTTTCTTTCCTTATTTTTTGTTTTCAGTTTTGAGACAAAGAAAAAGAAAAATGATATACATGTCCATTATTTGAGGCAATGACAGAAAGAAAACAAATACACCCAAATCTTTTTTGTTTTATTCCCTACTCCCTCACTTAGGCCCAACTCTTTAATTTGCCCTTGAACTATTTCATCAAAAAGGACCTACAACCTGAAAACAGACAAAAAAAAACAATTAAAAGGCAAATTAAGTTCAAACTAGGTAAGGAGACATCTAAATGGTTGTTCTTACATGAGCTACAGTATTCTGTCCTAACCAAATTGTACCTTAGGACACTGACACACTTTACCTTCATGATTATGTATCAAGTAGAAATCTTTGAGAAATCAGAAAATTGTAGAGAATGAGAACAGATAAAATTGCCTTGATTTTTCACACACACACACACACATCACACAAACACAAACAGTTTCTAGAAACAACAGACCAGTAAATTTGGCATTAATCCATATAGAATTCTTTCTAAGTTGTCCATCAAATATTCTGTAAGATTAAGAAAATGGCAAGCACTAACAATCCCACAGATTCAGTTAAAAACAAAGCAAGATTCCGAACGAGCCAGAAGAATCTTAAATGTTCTCACTCCTAAGAAATAAATTATCCTCATTTGATCATTATTTATTGCATATATGTCTTAAAATATCACATTGGCCCCCATAACTGTGTATAATTATAATATATCAATTAAGGGGGGGAGTAGGAGAGGGATGAGTGGGAATGTTAAAGGGGTAACATTGATCAAGATATATTTTATTTATAAACTGCTTTGTTAATTGGCAACTCCTTTCTACAACTACTTGAAGATAATAAAAAATAATAAAAACTTGGATCAAATGTATGGAATAGCTCTTTGAAAAACCTGAAAGTTGAAACAGAAGAGCCAAGAAAGCATGGTATATTGTTAAATATACCATACTTTCTGAAAAAATAATTAAACATTTGTAAAAACAAGAAGAAAAAATCAAGACAAGCCAAACGAATACCATTTTCTGTTTTAAGAATATTATTTAACAGATCAAAGAAATTCAGACAGATCATGCAATTGTTTCTAACACATTTATAAGATTATTTCTTTGTTGCTTTGTATGTCCCTCCCCCACAGTATAACCCCTGCTTTCACTGTATTTGATGTTGGTATAATTTGTGGAGGGGAAGGGGAAAAACAAATCATTTAAATAGGGATACAGGTGGACCCATTGCAACAATGAGATGTACAAGTCCTTATGTCGAAAACAAACTTTACAACTTTGGTGGTGGGGGGAGGATTAGGTGGGGGGGCAGGGGGAGGATGGGAAGGGATGGGAAGGGGAAACAAAGGAGGAAGCTACAATGCTTGATAAGAAATGTACTCATGGGCTGGGAAGGTGGCTCAGTGGTAGAGCGCTTGCCTTGCATGCCTGAGGCCCTGGGTTCGATTCCTCAGCACTACATAAGCAAAAAGAAAAAAGTGGGAAGTGGCGCTGTGGCTCAAGTGGTAGAGTGTTAGCCTTGAGCTGAAAAGCTGAGGGACAGTGCCCATAACCAGACCCCAAAACAAAACAAAAACAACAAAAAAAGAAATGTACTCATTATCTTGCCCATGTAATTGTAACCCCTCTGTACAGTATTTTCACAATAAAAAAAATCATTGGGACAAAAAAAAAGAAATTAAGACAGAGCATATATTGAGTTTTGCCATGTAGAAAGTCCCTCATTATGATCAGTGGAGAAAGGAACAAAAGGTCAATTACCCCATTGTATATCATTCTATCAATGAATAACTTGCATAATTAAACCTAAAAGATATTGACTGAATGTTGCAAGACTGGATTTGGCCCTACCCCAATCAATGTACACATCACCAAGGTTCAGGCCTAAGAAGAAAAGACTGTGGATTTGGCAGTAACACTAGGCTGGGAAGGAAAGCTAACATACTGAATGCAGAATCATGAGTCTTAAATATCTCAGTACATAACAGCAATGTGAGGAAATTAAAGTAAAAACACTGAAATTCTATACTGCATAAATCCTTAGGCATAAATGCAGAACAGAGTCTCTAGAAACAAGTCGAATAATGTAAAGAGAACACACTGTTGAGATAATCAAGCTGGTTGAACAGGAAGACATTTGTCTTGACACAGATCAAAGGAAAAGACCTGAAAGTAATACTTCCAGTAAATCCCAGAAAAGATCTCAGATATGTCCTCTGAAACTTTATTTATTTTTGCTAATACTGGAATTTAAACTTTGGCCCCCTCAAAGTTTGGGCTTCCCCCTCAACTTTCCTTGCTCTACCACTTGAGATGTAGTCTCAGTGACTTTTCTACTTGGGTTGGGTTTGAACCACGGATCTTCCAGATTTCAGACTCCTGAGTATCTAGGGATTTAGGCACAAACCACTGGTGCTAGGCCAGAAACATATCTTTAATTGTTATTTTTTGAGGTGCTAGGGATCAAATCTAAGGCCTTCAGCATGCTAAGTAAGAGTTATACCTATTAATGAGCTATGTCCTCAGCCCCTTGGAAACACATTTAAAGATAGTTTGTTGGGAGCTGGGAAGGTGGCTCAGTGGGAGAGTGCTTGCCTTGCATGCATGAGGCCCTGGCTTTGATTCTTCAACACCATATAAGCAGAAAACACCAGAAGTGGTGCTGTGGCTCAAGTGGTAGATCACTAGCCTTGAGCTGAAGAGCTGAGAACAGCGCCCAGGCCCAGAGTTCAGGCCCCACAACTGACAAAAAAAAAAGTTTTTCATTTATCTAAAGGCTTGATTGAGTACTTGTTATTAAACTTAAGGAGGTTATCTGTCAAAAGGAGAACAAAATCATCAAAGGGAAGGGAAAATGTACTGTGAATCAAGGCACTGGGAACCATAAAGGAAAGTCAGAAAATTTAGCTTTGAAAACAGGAACAGCTCTTAACAGTGTATGAGAGCTATCCACAAATACTTGAATGATAAATTAGGTAAGTTTACAAAGTACAGGTGACTTTAGAAAGAAATACTTCTCATTTTCCCTTCTAAGAGGTCAAAGAGGCTAAGACTTGGACTCCATTAATGCATTTGCGATAATCTTAGTAAAACTAGAAAGAGCTTTGTGAAGTGGTGAACTCTTGGTGAGTCCATGGTTGAATGGGTAAACCAGGCATAGTACACGTAAACTCTTAAGAGGTAGGTTTAGGACATTGTTTCTCTAAAATGTAGTCCATCATGTGGTTTCATCCTATATACAAAATATTCATATATAATGAAGACAATATATCATAGTGGTCAAAAGTTTAGTAACAGCCCACCAAGATTTGAATCTCAGCTTTTCCTCAAGTTAAGGATAAGTTAGCTAACTACCTTGACTTCCCTGGACCACAATCTCTCTATTTGCATAATGTGTACAATATAAGCATTACCACAATGGTTCTGGCATAAGGAATTAATGCACAGGAAGGATTTAGTGTTTCCCATAGAAATGTACAGTAAAGCTTGCAACTTATTGTATTCCTCTGCAGACTTTTTAGGGTTATGAAGAGTCCTGTTACTAATTCTGGGCCAAGTGTAGGATTCACCCGAGCAGCAGCAGACTATGTCTGATTAGAAGATTATGGGGGAGACTGATGCCTTGGAATTAATCACTTCAAATATAAATAAAACAGTGCTGCCTGCAGCAAAAGAGAACATCAGGCGAGCCTTTACCTCATTCACAGACATTTGTTGTTGTTGATTGTGGGACTTGAACTCTAGGCCTGGGCACTGTCCCTGAGCTCTTCAACTCAAGGTAAGTGCTCTACTACTTGGGCCACAGCACCACCTCTGATTTTCTGGTGGATTATTGGAGCTAAAAGTCTCACAGACTTTCCTGCCTGGGCGGTCAGATCTCGGCCTCCAGAGTAGCTAGGATTACAGGCATGAGCCATGGGTGCCTGGTGACTCATATAATTTTTAAAGCCAGCTACAAATTACAAACATTTCTGTCTTCAAAACAGCCTTAAAATGAAAGCTGCTGCTTCATCATTGTGGTTAGCAAAGACGTGCGATATGGATCCTGGGATCTAAGGAGCAGCCTCCACTGCAGAGCTTGCTGGCTTTTCAGGTTCTTCTCCCAGATCCACAATCCGGATGGCATTTTCTTTTTTGGAAAGCCAGAAGGCAGCATAGACTGGCTCTGAAAACTTGCAGTCAAACTTGTGAACCAGAGTCATAGCATCATACTCTATGCCATAGAAGGAAAGGACCCCTCCTGGGAAGTCAATGTAGATCCCGAGCCTCCGGAAAGGGTCAGCTTTGAGCGGGGTCTCTGTGTCACTGTGCCAGGCTGTGAACTCCTTCCCATTCCAATAGAGGCTCCAGGAGAAGTTGTTTCCAGAAATGCAACCATTGCGTTCTTCTCCTTTCCGGTCAATGCCTTTGCAGGTCAGGCCAACGTAGGTGCCTGCCCCAGAGATCTCCACCTCAAAATAGTACCTGTGTAGGTACAGACTTTGTTGAGACAGCACCTGCCGCCAATACACAAACCTGCTGGGGTGGTCTGGGTAAGGATGTTCCCAAGGTGAGGTGTTGGTGACCTTCCGGTTGTCCTCCTGCAGCCGGAGATACCTGTGTGCTGTGTCAGGGTCAAATGTGATGTCACATGCATCTAGAGAAACAGAGAATGCAGGGAGAGTAGCTCAGGAACTGACAGCTGATTCACATAGAACACTTTAAACCTAGCTGGCCTCCTAGGATGGTGGCAGGAAACATCCATCTCTCCATTCTCAGCTTTCCCAGCCATTATTCCCCTAGCAAAAGAGTGAAGGCCAGACAATAGGGAGAATGCAAATCACTTCCTGTCTTCCATTTCTGAAGCCCAAATTAATTGATAGTTATTGCATTGCCTGTGAGCTGAATCAAAAACTAAATTATTTACTGTATTCATTCACTCATTCATTAACAGGTCTGCACAAAAAGCCAGACAAAAGGGCTGGGAAGGTGGCTCAGTGGTAGAGTGCTTGCCTTGCATGCATGAGGCCCTGGGTTCGATTCTTCTGCATCATATAAGCAGAAAAAGCCGGAAGTGGAGCTGTGGCTCAAATGGTGAGCGCTAGCCTTGAGCTGAAGAGCTGAGGGACAGCGCCCAGGCCCAGAGTTCAGGCCCCACAACTGACAAAAAAAAAAAAAGCCAGACACAATTATATCCATGGTTGACAGAGGTTTGGGGATATAGGTACTCATCTCCAACATTTGATCCATTCATTTATTTCAAAATGTTCAGCCAATATTCAGCATTTAGCAGTAGCATAAACATTCCCCCAACCTATATTCTTCTACCAATCTCAGAATAATACTACTTCTGTTCACATAGTTGTTTAAGCTCAAAATCATTTTTTACCTTTCGTTTGCCTTCATTCTTGTCCCCACCATCCCTTCCTATACACAGACAGTAGAAAGTTCTGTAGTTCTCCTATAGTTCCACCTCTCTCCAGCCTCTTAATTCAACCTCCATAATCAGGTCTTACTAGAAGCAATGGACTAGATGCAATGGATTAGGTGCAATGCCTTACTTGTTGCCTATAATAATAATACTTCCAAAGGTATTATTTTGAATATTACATTATTCATGATAATATTCAAAGAAGAAAGTTAATATGTATAAAATACTTGTAATGCAAAAGAAGTTGATATAAAAATGCACGTAATGTTAAAAGAAGACAAATTAGCCAGGTGCTGGTAGCTCATGCCTATAATCCTTGCCACTCAAGAGGCTGAGATCTGAGGATAGTGGTTCAAAGTCAGCCCGGGCAGGAAAGTCCATGAGACTCTCATCTCTAATAAACCACCAGAAAACCAGAAGTAGTTCTGTGGCTCAAGTAGTAGAGACTAGCCCTGAGCTGAAGAGTTCAGGGACAGCACCCAGGCCCAGAGTTCAAGCCCCACAACTGACCAAAAAATATTATAGTAAGATATGTCTAATTTTTATTTTAATGTTCAGAATAAAGGACATATAAGTTCTTATATTATGTCTGTCTATAAAATATAAATGTGCTTCTGTGAGGTAGCAAGAATAAATAAAGGAAACTATGTGGCACCCAAGAGGTGTTGAGAAGTAGAAAAAAAGGAGATAGTAATTGGCATCGTGGCCCCTAATAAGATCCAAAGAAACCCAGGTGCTGATGGCTCATACCTATAATCCTAGCTACTCAGGAGACTGAGATCTGAGCATCACAGTTCAAATCCAGCCTAGGCAAAAAAAGTTCATGAGACTCTTACCTCCAATTAAGCATCAAAAAGCTAAAAATGAAATTGTAGTTCATTAGGTAAAGTGCCAACCTTGAGGGGAAAAAAGCTAAGTGAGAGCTCAAGGCCCAGCATTCAAGGCTGAGTACTCACCAAAATTAAAAAAAAAAAGTTAACAGCTCAGTCCAATACCATATAATAACAGTACAAGGGAATCTGGTCAAGTAAGATTTATAAATGAAACATTTGGGGCTGGGAATGTGGCTTAGTGGCAGAGTCCTTACCTAGCATGCTGGAAGCCCTGGGTTCGATTCTTCAGTACCACATATACAGAAAAAGCTAGATGTGGCACTGTGGCTCAAGTGTTAGAGCACTAGCCTGAAGCACAGAGAAGCTCAAGGACAGAAGCCAGGCCCTGGGTTCAAACCCCAGGTCTGACAAAAAAAAAAGAAGAAACTCTTGGTGACTCTCTAAAGTGCCAAGGTCATGAAGGACAAAGAAAGATTGATACAATGACCCAGACTAAGGAGGGGCTGGGAAGGTAGCTCAGTGGTAGAGTGCTTGCCTTGCATGCATGAGGCCCTGGGTTCAATTCCTCAGCACCACATAAGCAAAAAGAGTGGTAGAGCATTAGCCTTGAGCTGAAGAGCTGAGGGACAGCGTCCATGCCCAGAGTTCAGGCCCCACAACCAGACTCAAAAAAAAAAAAAAAGAAAAAAGTTCTAAGAAGACATGGAAACACCTAGGTTCCTGGACTGAACATAGGACAGAAGAAAGGGTAATGGAAGAATAATTGATGAAATCTGAATAAATTCTCCTTTTTTTTTTTTTTTGGTTGGTCATGAGGCTTGAACTCTGGGCCTGGACGCTGTCCCTCAGCTCTTCAGCTCAAGGTGAGCACTATACTACTTGAGCTACAGTGCCACTTCCGGTTTTCTAGTGATTTATTGGAGATAGGAGTCTCACGGTCTTTCCTGCCCAGCTTTGAACCATAATTCTCAGATCTCAGCCTCCTGAGTAGCTAGGATTACAGGTGTGAGCCACCGGTGGGCGCCTGGCTTGCATGTTTGTTAGTGGTCTTACAACTACTTCAATTTCTTGACTTTGATTGATTGTATTATAGGTATGTACAGTGTTAGCATTTGGAGAAGCTGAGTGGAAAGTGTAAAGGAATTCTTTGTCCTTCTTTTGCAATGTTTTGATAAGTTTTAAACTATTTCAGAAAAAACTTTTAATTACAATTTTAAAGTAAATCATTTAGGGATAGACAAGAGGTAGAAACAACCTGAATCTTCTACAAGACAAGTTGATTGTTGCTTCAGCAAAGCCCTACATTGATATCAACTATCTGGAGAAGGAATTCACAACTTACATTCGAGAAACTGTTCTCTGGTTCTAGGTTCAGGTTTTGAGGTCCGATATTTGCGCTGAACAATGGCAGACACTTGAGTTCTGATGTCATACTCTTCTAGAAAACAAAGAACTGTGAATGCACATCTATCCAGGTTGTCAGAAAAACTGAAAAAAAATAGGTCACCTTTCCATGGGTTTCTAGGAAAAATAAATGCTGACCCCTAAAAATCTGGATCATATTCAATGGGCCAGGCAAAAGCTGAAAAAGATCCCAGACTGAAGTTGGGTACTGGTGGCTCACATCTGTAACCCAGTTACTCAGGAGGCTGAGATCTGAGGAGCACAGTTCAAAACAGCCCAGGCAGGAAAGTCCCTGAGACTCTTATCTCCAATTAATCACTGTAAAGCCAGAAGTGGAGTTGTGGCTCAAGTGGAAGAGTATTATCCTTGAGCCCAAAAGCTCAAGGAGAATCACATGCCCTGAGTTCAAGCCATGGGATGGGTGGACACACACACACACACACACACACACACACACACACACACACACACACATCCCAGACTAACTTGAATTTCACTTAGAATACAGGTACCAGCAACCTGAGAAACTAATCAAAGAATGGCCAGAAAATTGCTTGAAGCATGTATTTATTTCTCTGGGTCTCAATTATGAAATAAAATCAAGATAAGAGTCTATGGGTCCATTTTTGATACAGCTGAGCTGAAAGATGGCTTTGACACTTAGATTTCTCCTGATCTGCATCCCTTTCCTGGTTCTCCCTTGCTTTCTCTATCAATCATTCTGGACAAACATTGACCAGAGCTCATGGCCCAGAAAGTGCCTCACCTTCCTTGGCAAACTCCTGAAGCTTTTCCTTATAGTTCTCCAGCAACTGGATTATGTCTGTGGTGGAGTCTGTGATGACCTTGCGGATACCTGAGAGCTTATCCTTTAGCCCAATGTAAACACTAGGGAAAGCAGTATCTTCAGCATTCTTAAACTTGGAGTATTCCTGAAGGAAAGAAAATAGGAGGACTTGCTTTGGGTTCCATTATTCTTACAGTGGGATGCTCTCCTATTATGTTTAAGGGGTGATAGGCATGTGTGCTTCACAAAGAAAATAGATGTATAAGTTCCTACTTATGCTCTAACAAGACAAAAAGCTTTTATGCTTTGGGACCCTAAAACAGAAATGAGTCTTTCCAAAATTAAGTGGGAAATTAGGCTTTTAAATATCAAAACTTTCCAGATCCCTGATGTTCATGCTTGTAATCTTAATTACTCAGGAGGCTGAGATTTGGGGATGGCAGTTCAAAGCCAGCCTAAGCAGAAAAGCCTATAAGATTCTCATCTCCAATTAACGACCCCCCAAAACCAGAAGTGGGAAGCCAGGCACTGGTGCCTCATGCCTGTAATCTTAGCTAAACCATAAGTGGCACTGTGGCTGAAGTAGTAGAACACTAACCTTGAGCACAAAGAGGCTCAGGGATAGCACCCAGGTCTGAGTTCAATCCCCAAAACCAACAAAAACAAAACAAAACTAAAAAGCCCAAACCAGAAGTGATAGGTGGCTCAAGTGATAGGTCATGAATACAAAAGCTTAAGGACAGTGCCCAGGCCCTGAATTCAAGCCTCAGGATCAGCATAAAAACATTAATAAACTGGTCACCAGTGGCTCACACCTGTAATCGTAGCTACTCAGGAGGCTGAGATCTGAGGATTGCGGTTCAAAGCCAGCCCAGGCAGGAAAATTCATGAAACTCTTATCTCCAATAAACCACCAGAAAACCAGAAGTGGCACTGTGGCTCAAGTGGCAGAGCACTCGCCTTGAACTGAAGAGCTGAGGGACAGCGTCCATGCCCAGAGTTCAAGCCCCACAACTGACAAAAATAAAGTAAAATAAAAATAGGGGCTGGGAAGGTGGCTCAGTGGTAGAGTACTTGCCTTGCATGCATGAAGCCCTAGGTTCGATTCCTCAGTACCACATAAGCAGAAAAAGCCAGAAGAGGCACTGTGGTTCAGTGGTAGAGTGCTAGCCTTGAGCTGAAGAGCTGAAGGACAGTGCCCAGTCCCAGAGTTCAGATCCCACAACTGACAAATATAAACCATATATATATATATATGTGTGGTGTGTGTGTGTATATATATACATATATATATATATGTATATATACACACACATACACATATAGCTATATATGACACTTTATATATATGTATACATACCTTTTGATATATATATATATATACATATATGTGTATATATCAAGGTATTAGCTGTCCCCAATACATAGCCCAATATATAGCTCAAACTGAGAGCTTAAAAATAAGGACATAAAGCTCCAGTTCTTTTTATCCTTCCATAAATTTTGTTTTATTTTCATAGTTGCAAATATTTATTTTCTGCAGTTATTCAGTTTCCTTGATCTTCCCCACCGCCAGCTTTTCATAACTTAGACACGTCATGGTAATGAATGAGACATAGGTTCCTGCACTCTAAATATCCCAAACAAGTTTTTCAGACAAGAATTCAGCCTTCTCCAAACCATCCTAAGCTACATAATGAGATTCTACCTCAAAAAAGTACAAATAAACAAGAAATAAATAAATACTATTATTTTGACTGGCTTACAATGTAGGAGAAAATGTTATATTGTTAAACTTCACATCTAAGTTACACTGAAATACATACTTTTTCTTTATCTGTATGTATGTACCAGTAGTGGGGCTTGAACTCACTCCCACTGCTCATCCAATAAATGAAAAATTTTTTGGGGGGGTCCGGTTGTGGGGCCTGAACTCTGGGCCTGGGCCCTGTCCCTCAGCTCTTCAGCTCAAGGCTAGTGCTCTACCACTTGAGCCACAGCGCCACTTCTGGCTTTTTTCTTTTTGCTTATGTGGTGCTGAGGAATCAAACCCAGGGCCTCAGGCATGCAAGACAAGCGCTCTACCACTGAGCCACCTTCCCAGGACAATAAATGAAAATTTTGAGACTAAGAGATGTTATGTCACTTGCTAAAAGCTGTACAGCTATTTAGTGACAGATCTAGGATAGAGAAATTCACTCAGCCTCTAGTTCTTTCCCTGCAAGATTACATGTTCAGGGCTGGGAATGTAGCTTACTGGTAGAGTGCTTGTCTAACATGCATGAAGCCCTGGGTTTGATTCCTCATACCACATAAACAGAAAAAGCCACAAGTGGTGCTGTGGCTCAAGTCGTAGAGTGCTAGCTTTGAGCAAAAGAAGCTCAGGGAAAGTACAGTGCCCAGGCCCTGAGTTCAAGCCCCAGGACTAGCAAAAAGAAAAAAGACAGAAGGAAAGACAGGAACAAAGAAGGAAACAAAGAGAGAGAGAGAGAGAAAGAAAGAGAGAGGGAGGGAGGGAGGGAGGGAGGGAGAGAGAGAGAGAGAGAGAGAGAAGGGATTAAATGTTCCTTAGATCTGGTTCCAATGCTTATCCCTTGATGCACGATGATATATTGCAATTAAAAGTTCCATTCCCAGTGGCTCATGCCTGTAATCCTAGCTACTCAGGAGGCTGAGATCTAAGGATCATGGTTCAAAGCCAGCCAGGACAAGGAAAGTCTGTGAGACTCTTTCAATTCACTGCCAGAAAACAAGAAGTGATGCTGTGGCTCAAATGGCAGAGTGCTTGCCTTGAGCTGAAGAGCTCAGGGACAGTAGCCCAGTCCCAGAGTTCAAGTCCCACGACCGGGGAAAAAAAATTCCATTCCCTCTACTGATCCTTATGTTTTCCCTCTACCTAAAACATTCTGCACTTTGAACCTGACTCACCATCTAGCCATCCAGCCCCTTTCCAACTCTGAGCAGTTCTCCCTACCCCTCCCATACTCTGCTGAATCAGCACTCACTTCTCTCTGTTCCCACAGCTTCCTGACGGCCCCATTCATCAGTGCACTCACAGGTGCATCTCAGCCCCATAGAGCAAAGGTGCTCCATGGTGCTGCTCCATCGATGTCCCCATTCCCCAGTTCTTTACCTCCAGGAAGAGAACAGTATTGCTGATGGCTGCCAACCTGGCCAGCTCCTGCTTGCTTTTCTCCATCTCTGCACTCCTGTACTCCAGATGCGTTTTAATGCTGTTAGCCTGGTTCAGGGCAGCGTGCTCCTTCTCCTCCAAGAAGAGCATGACATCGGCCTGAGCTTTCCTCACGGCAGCAAGGAGTTCTCCAAACTGCTCTTCAGCAACCACTTTGACCTCTGATACAGACACCTGGTGAGGGTGGAGTGGGAGAAAGACAGTGTGAAATTTGAAATGAGAAAGACAAAATGTGAAATGTGAAAGACAGAAATGTGAACTTGAGAAACCTATAAATTAGGGAGAAATGTTATATTGTAAAAGACAGTTTTGATTCTTAGGTTATGGCATATCATCCTCCCTAAAATCAAGCTGAGGCTGTCATGCTCATAAACCTCCAGACTATGAGCCAAACAAACTTCTTTTCCCTTATGAACTACTCACCTCAGGCACTTTGTTATCATAGTAGAAGGTGGATTAATACAAACACCCTTCTACACTGCCTTGAAGTAAGGCCTGAGATGGAGATCCTACACAGCTGCCTACAGCACAGCAGCTCAGCAGGCATAACCTGGACCAATCCCTGGGGATATTGGCACACTCTAAAACAAGCACAGGAGGAGTGTGTAGTTTAGCTTAGTTTTCAGTCCATGGGCTGAGCCCTGTGGGAGATTCATAAGAACATTGGAGCCTTGTCCATTACATTGATACTTTATCAGGACCAGGGAAGAGCAAGACTTAGTGCCTTATTCACTATGAGCAGCTGGTAAAGGCACATACTTTAAATGCATAGGCTTCTGTTGAACAGGTAACACACACACACACACACACACACACACACACACACACACACACAACCTACATACCAACTGTAGTAATTCCAGAGCGCTGTTCACAAGATGTTGACTCCTTGTTATTGTAAATACTTTAAATTCTCAGACAATTAATCATAACTGGATTTAGACTTAAATGTTGAAATTGCACTTTTACTTTGTAAATATGAAAAAAATAGATGGCGAAAGCCAGGTGCTGGTGGTTCACACCTGTAATTCTAGCTACTCAGGAGGCTGGGATCTAAGGACTGCATTTCAAAGCCAGCCTGGGTAGTAAAGTCTCTGAGAAATTATCTCCAATTAACACCAAAAAGCTGGAAATGGAGCTGTGGCTCAAGTGACAGAATGCTGGCCTTAAGGAAAAAAAGTAAGGAATAGTTCTTAGGCCTTGAGTTCAAGGCCCAGTACTATTACAAAACAAACAGAAAACAGAGAGAGTGAGGGAAGGGGTGACATTGTCCAAAAAGAAATCTACCCTTTGCCTGACTATGTAACTGTAATCCCTCTGTACAGCATCTTTATAATAATAAAAATATTTTTTAAATATGGAGAAAATAAGGATTAAGAAATGATGTACTAGAAAGGTAAGTTTTGCTAATTACCCTTAGAAGGTGTGGGGTATAGTTGTCTTATCCAATGGATAAGACAGCTCCTGGCTTACTTACTCATCTTTCCTGCTCCATCAGATACTAGATGTTCTGGCTGTATGAATCATCAAAGTAAATGGGGCTCCTAGCGCTCATTATCACCTTCAGAATCAGGAAGTGAAGTTATGGTTTAAGTGAAAGACTGACAGCCTTGAGCAAAAAAGCCAAGCAAGAACACAAGTCCTTGAATTCAAGCCCCGTTACCAGAACAAAATAAGATAAAATAAAAAGCAGATGCAGGACAAGACATGGGAACCAACATAAGGGTATTATGGAAAAGAAAATGCCCATAATTATAATAGGAAGGTTTTTTTTTCAAGAAGCAGGATTCTGTGAGGCTAAGAGGAATGAATATAAAGACAAAATTAATGATTTATATCCCTCTCCCATTCCCACTAAGGTAATCCTGAAGAAGGATGGTGGAAGGGAGGTTCAAATGATGGGCATATATTGACTCCTGTTTCAGCCTTTCCTTCCTGAAACTTCTATTGGGAAATATTTACATCTAAAATGGGATGGGTGAAGAATATTATTTAGTACTTAAATGATGACAAGTAAACTGTGCAGAGAGGAGGTGCCACAAACAAATCAAACTAGCCAACAGTTAATAGCCTAAACATTTGAAGATAGTTTCAACCATCAACAACTAGTTAAGCTGTAAACATTCAAGAGGTGTAAATTAAATGGAAATGTATATGTAGATTAGAATGGATGGGTAGTAGGTGAATAACTCGTGATGGATGTGGATAAGTAAATTAGTGGGAAGGTAGGTGGATTTACAGATATAAAGATGGATAAATGGGTAGAGGGAGAGATAGAAGGATACAATAATTCACTCTCAGGATACTACTAGCAGGGCGTAGATGGTTCACACCTGTAATCCTAGTTACTCAGGAGGCTGAGATCTGAGGATCATGGTTCAAAGCCAACCTGGGCAGTAAAGTCCACAAGACTCTTATCTCTAATTAACTACCAGAAAACCTGAAGTGGCACTGTGGCTCAAGTGGTGGAATGCTAGTTTTGAGCAAAAAAGCTCAAGGAAAGGCTCCAAGTTCAAGCCCATGGCCAACCAAAAAAAAAAAAGATGATACTACTAACCCACTGCCATAGGTAGGTGTTCAGCACTCTTCTGACTAGTAGTTATTAGCTCGACATCAGTGAAAGGTATTTATGGAACTACTTATGTCTACTGAGAGTCCATTTGGAAAGCGGCCATAAACCAGAGAGCCCAGGCCTAAACAACCTGGCACACCATTGGCCTCATCAAGTACTACCCACTGGTCCTATAGCTCTCAACTCTAAATCCCAGTGTCCAGGACACAGGACTGGTGAGATGCACATGCAGAATGCCCTCCCTTGATGGAAGGAGCCAGAATCATGTGTAATTTGTGGAGCTCTAATTAAGCACCTTGTTTTCACACACATACACACACACACACACACACACACACACACACACACATACATACACACATACTTTTCTCCTTCTAGTCAAGTATGCATATGTAAAAACAAGAATGCTGTTATGCCAGGACTGGTCTTGGTTCCACTCTATATTGTAAATAGTAAATTACTTGCCTATTTAAAAATGTAAACCACATTCACAATAAATTCTGACTGAGATAAGACTAGTGTGGCCAGCTATACCTGTAATTCTCAGTTGCTGATCCTGTGGTGGCATTCAGGTATGCTAGAGTCTGACAAGTGATTCACATAGCAGTCTTACCAAAACGGACTTATGGTTGGCTTGGAGCCTGGCGATGGCATTTTCATTCAACTTGAGTTTCTGTTCCAAGTTTATCTGGGTACACCGAAGGTCAGCCTTAGAAGTAAGAAGGAGAGTGTTAAGGAAGGAAGGAGCCTAGTACACACAGAAAGTCTCCCAAGGGCAATGGTGCTTTTCATCCTTGAAGTCCTATCTTTCTTCCCTGAAAGTTTGACCTTTGAAGCTGATCTCAGAAAGCCAAGGATTAGATTTGTGCCAGCCCTTTCCTGGGACTGAACTCAAGATGAATTGGCTAAAAGTCCTGAGCATCTACCCTATGCTGGTCATTATTTCAAGAATTAATAAGGAATATCCTTAAACCCCATATTAGGCAAAAATTATTACTTACATTTTGTAGATGCTACAATTGAGCCAATTATCCAAGGTTGAGTGTTCACCAATGGGAGTGAGCCTAGACATTGTGACCTCTAATTATCTAACATTAAGTATGGGCTTATAGCAAGTGACATAGCCAGATGGGAAACTCAGCTTTTTAACTTAGCAGCTGAGGCTTTGATCAAATTTATGTATAGGAAAACCAAATTATTTTCTCACACTTAAAAGCACATAAAAATCCTGCAAAACAGTCCTAATTCTCAGAAGTTTCCTTGCCTCTGATACCTCTATCTCTTAAGAATTAGCTGCCCACTGAAGTCTATCATTTTTTAAAATAGTTAACTGGAAATAAGTGATTCTCAGATTACTAAGTAGCTAGGATTTCAGACATGAGCTAGCAGCATTCAGTCAAATATATATATATATTTCTTATTGTTTTACAACTTAATGTCTCAAAACATCCATTTCTTCACCTGTAAGATAACAATAAGGTGCTTGCTTCCTAAGATTATGAGATAATGAATTAAATAAGATATTATATGTTATTAAGAATTTTGTGTAGTAGCAGGCACATTGTAGGTATACAATAAACATCAATATTTTATCCTGTGTCGTAGCCATCATCATCCTCCTCTTCCTCCTCCTCCTCCTCCTCCTTCCTGCTACCATGGTTGCTTTCCATTCATGCTTTGTGTCTGCTACTGCAGGCAGGCAGAGCTAGCCCTCCTCACTTCACCCCCATCTATTTCTTGTCCCTATCCTGGAAGGCAAGTAGTCAAGGCAAGTCCCTGCCTGAGAATCTTGGGTTTGGTTGCCTTGACCCCAGTCTCCTGGGACTCATTCAACACCTTCTGCCAAGAAATCTGTCACCTCAGAAAACCTCAGCCTTTGCAAACTTCAAAGGTCCTGTCACTCTCCTACTTGCACAAGGGCATGAGATAGAAAAAGAAAAAAGAGCAAGGAAGGAAGGAAGGAAGAAACAATAATAAATAGCTTTTAATAGCTTCTGTCTGCATTTCAAACCATGATAGCTTCTGTCTATATTTCAAACCATGAGTCACTACGCATTAATAGATCTCAAGTCATAAATTGTTTGACCATTCTTACATAAAGCTTGGTGGAATTCTAACCACCCTCCCCAGCTACCCTACCCCTCACCCTCACCCTACCCTACCCGTGGTGATGGAAGCAGCTGCAGACTTCCCTGATGAATGAGGGTAACCTTTGTTTGAGGTCTAGGTCACTGATATAGAGCTGAAGTAGCCCCAGTGACTTCTCACTTCTAATACCTGGGAGCAGATGCTAGAGAGTGGGGAGTGGAAAAGTGAGTAGAAGGAGAAAGTGAGAGGGCTTCTGGCCTATTTGCAGGAAAACCTGGAATGTTACACAATGGCCCATTCCAGGAGAGAGGGAGGAAACATGAATTACTGATTTGAAAGTGTTAGAAGGCACAACAGAACACACCCTACAACCTAACTCATGCAGTGACTTAAGAATGTGTTAAGGCAATTACCCCCAACCAAACCCTAGAAGACACCCAGAGTATCCAGGAAAGGGCTTCTCTCCTCTGTCTGAAGAGTACCATAAAAGGAGAGAAGAATTTCTAAGCACCAAATGGAGGCCTCTTCAGAGTGAGTCATCCCAAGGGAAGGCACTCCCAATTACCACAGAAGGTGTGGCTGCTTTGGAGACTTGTATCTCCAGTTATTCTTGTTCCTAGAAAATGAAGGGTTGCCTTAGACTCTAGCTTTGGGTTTTCCCAAGATATGAGCTATACATCCATCTCAGGCCAGGGTAGGTCTGCCTGAGAGCGGGACAGTAATACTTGGGACATAGCCTTCAAGCAAAGAAAAGAGAAGCCTTCCCTCATTCTGCAAAGTAATGACACACTTTACATAAGGCATAATATGTGAGGTCTTAAGACCCACTGCTTGCTGCATGATACTGTCAAATCATTTAGCTTCTCTTCTGGTGCAAGGCTACATGTCTCTATATTGACAGAATTGTTTCCATCTTCTGCATCTACAGGGGAAAGGGGGCTGAGAATGGTGAGAGATACAAATAGGAACAGCAGAAGGAGTAAGAAGAAAGAACAAATCAAGAGTGAATATACCCCAATATTCTCAGAACTTGGAAAACTAAGGCAAGAAGATAGCAGGTTCAAGACCAGCCTGTGCTATATAATGAGATCCTGTCTCAATTTTTTTAAAGAGGAGGAGAAAGGGGAAAGGGTAAAAGTGAGGGAAGGAAGAAGACAGTGAGGAGGAAGAAGAAAGAAGAAAATTCCAGATAGTATCTAACACATGAAGTTCACCCTTTGGAGACTTAACTGTTGGCATCATCTAAACTGCAACTCCATTCTTTAGTCAATAGGTGAAAACCTATTCACTGAGTGCTGGTCCAAGAATGCTGGTGTGTCAAATAAGACACACTCTTAGCTTCATATGTTTCATAATACTGAATCAAAGATACTCCTTAGAATTTCTGGAAGAAACTCTTGTCCTCAGTAGCTCCATACCAATCCTATTGGTTACCAGTAGACTGAGTGCTATTAGTTAACAGCTCCCCAGGCAAGCACCAAGATTTTTGACTCTCTGATAGTTAGCTTTTGCTCTACATAGAGACCATATTCAGTCAGCATCCAGTACTGACCTTTCTAGAACTAATACTAAAGTTGGAGGTCATGCCTGACCCTAGTGGTCTTCAAATACCTAAGACAAGCCTCAACTCAGGTCTTCCCTCCTCCTAGAGTATTGCCCTGCTCTTGCTTCCATAGTTAATTACCTTCTTTATAGATATGCTGCCAGCCCTTTAGCATTCTATTTCTTTCTTTTTTGGTTGTGGGGCTTGAACTCTGGGATTGGGAGCCCCTTTAGCATTCTATAGAACTATGGTATGTACTTCAGTTTCCTGATTGTAATGAAATCCTAGAGGGTAGACAGTAGAGCCTAACACTCTCACTAAATAATGTAAAAGAACCATGGGATGAGAGAAGTCAGCAGCCAGAAGGCAAAAGCAAAAACTCTTAAGACCAAAGAGATCTCAGGAAGCTGAGCCATCATGCAGGGAAGTACTGAGTCCCCATTAGAAATTGCTAGATCTGAAAGTTCAATGGGAGAGGGTAAATAATCAAAGAACACTTACTGTCAACACCACTGGCAAAGGTGATGGCAACCATGGAAGCTTCGGGAAGGGCTTGCTAGGTTAGCTGAGAAACATCACTGTGAGAACCCTAGGCAGGATCTAGCTGCTATGCACCGTCCCAGCTGGCCCCACCATTTGTAACTTCTGGTACCCAACATGCCTGCCTATTAGCCCTTAACAAGCTCCAAAGAAACCTAAAAGCAAGTAACTGCAGAGGCTGGGTCTACCTGAAAAGAACACTGGGTATATGTAATAACCACTTCAAGACAATCCCTTTCAGAACCTCATCTAAGGCATTACATCTCTTGGACTTGTCTCTTAGGCTCCATGCAAGAATGTTTTGGCTCCAAAGATTTGGCAGATCCACTTTAGTATAGTAGCCCTTAGAGTAAGCTTGCTCTCTGAGCTTTCAACAGGGATACAGAATTACATAGGAGAGGGGTCTTCAGTGTGGGGCTGTGGCACCATACTTGTATCATGATTATTTTTCAGTATAAAACCTGCTCTAGAGCCTCTTACCCAGCTGTCCTATTCTAAGATGTCTGCATTTGGGATTTTGCACATGACTGACACAGTCCCTCCTGCACAAATTACTATCTCTCTAAGTGGCTGAGGTGCTTTAGGCTCCCACACTTAAATTTTATATTGCATCTGGGTTGGTATAGGCAGACACATCTCTAAGGAAACAGAAATTATAGGTAATGTTAGTTTTTTTTTTAGGGTTTTTTTTTTTTTGTAGGTTGTGGGCCTGAATTCTGGGCCTGGGCACTGTCCATCAGCTCTTCAGCTCAAGGTTAGCCCACTACCACTTAAGCCACAGCGCCACTTCTGGCTTTTTCTGCTTATGTGGTGCTGAAGAATCGAACCCAGGGCCTCATGCATGCAAGGCAAGCACTCTACCACTGAGCCATCTTCCCAGCCCTTATAGGTAATGTTAGCTCCTGACAAGAGGAGAGAGCTGGGAGGGATCCAGGATGGGTTACAGGCCTTCTCTTCCCATTTCATTGCTTGGTAGAGATAACTTTTTTTTTCAGTATTAGGGTTTGAACTCAGGACTTCACACTTTCTAGGAAGGAGCTATACCACTTGAACCACACCACTAGGCTGGAGATGATTAAGTTTTTCTTTTTTGTCAACTAGGGGCTTGAGCTCAGGGTCTGGGCGCTGTCCCTTAGCCACTTTGTGCTCAAGGCTAGTATTCTACCACTTGAGCCACAGTACCACTTCTGGTTTTTGAGTGGTTAATTGGAGATATGCATCTCACAGGGGCTTCAAACTATGATCTTCAGATCTCAGCCTCTTAAGTAGCTAGAATTAGGTGGCATGAGCCACCAGCACCTGGCTTATTTCTTTTTTACATGCACTGCTTTTCCAGTTAAAAAAAAAAACCTAACAGTAAAATAAAATTCAGGTATTATCGCCAAAGGGAATAGCATTATATGTCACTTTAATATCTCTAGTATGTGCATGTAAGATTTTTGGTACAATTTTTTTTAAATTAAGGTTAAAGTTTTGTGATTTTGGGGTCCTTTCTTCACATCTCCGGTGAGATAGCTTTCCAGAAGCTTCCATGCCTCACCCAAGCCTCACTCAACTATATACAACTGAACAAGTGTGGTGAGATAGTAAGAGTCTTCACCCTGTAGTTGAAGATTGAATGAGACGACCCAAAACAATTACTTTGAAAACAGCAATGTACAACAAGGTTTATTTTCCTCTGTGTGTCATTGTTTCCTTTGTTGATCTACCTACTTTCTGGACAGGACGTCCTGACACCGGAAGCACTGGAAACAGTTGACAAGTAGTGGCTTTCTGGGCCAGAAACAGTGACACACTGGCATCTAGAATGCAAAGCTTTCCAAAGTCCCACAGTAGTTATAATCTATGTCTAGAGATAGGCACAGACAAGATGCCCAGACAACATACTCCTTTTCCCAAAACCTCTTTGGGGGCTGGGGAAGTGGTTCAAAATTTTTTTTTTGATTTTAAAAAATAAAAACAGGGCTAGAAATGTGGTTTGGTGGTAGAATGCTTGCCTTGCATGCATGAAGCCCTGGGTTTGATTCCTCAGTACCAAAATACACAGAAAAGTTTGGAAGTGGCTCTGTGGCTCAAGTGGTAGAATGGCCTTGAGCCAAAGAAGCTCAGGGACACTGCCCAGACCCTCAGTTCAAGCCCCAAGACTGGCACACACACACAAAAAAAGGTTGAATGCTTATCTTGTAGTTGTTAGATACTGAATTCAATCCCCAGTGCTGAAAAATGAAAGAAAAAAAGAAGAAAGAGTTCTTTCTTTTAGTGCTCAGAAGCATTTGCCATCCATGTATAATGCAAATAGGGAACTATCCTGAGTGTGAATATAAGAAATGTGGGCCAGGCACCAGAGACTCACTGTAATACTAGCTGCTCAGGAGGCTGAGATCTGAGGATCAAGGTTTGCAGCCAACTCTACCAGGAAAGTCCTTGAGTCTCTTATCTCCAATTAATCACAGAAAAAGCTAGAAATGGCACTGTGGTTCGAGTGGTAGAGCACTAACCTTGAGCATAAAAGGAGCTTAGGACAGAGCCCAGGCCCAGAATTTGAGCCCTAGAACTGGAAAAAAAAAAAAAGAAAAGAAAAAAATAATTGTGGGACAAAAGTCAAGTCTACTTTCTATTAGAAAACAAAATGCTTTTGTAAAGTCACAGAAGGAGAAACAAAGTATTCGAAATTGCTAAGTCAATTCTCAAGGACTCTAAATGTTCAGCTTTAGAGAAAAACAAAACAAAAATAGAAACAGAAAACTAGGTGTTCGAGAATAGGTTTCCTATCTAATGGAAATAAAATTTGAGCAAGATGCTTCTCAGTCTCTCCTGTTATCGCTAGCTGCAGAAGAATTTTTACTTTCCGTAAATTAAGCTATCCTTGACATCATACCCGGATGTAAGTTTCAAATTCTGTTATCTTAGCCCTTTTTAAGTTCTTGGATTTCACATTGGGCACCTAGTTTTTTGTTTTGTTTTGTTTTGGTTTTTTTTTTGTTGGTGGTGGTGGGGCTTGAATCCTGGGCCTAGGCACTGTCCCTCAGCTCTTCAGCTCACGGCTAGGGCTGTACCACTTTGAGCCACAGCTCCACTTCCAGCTTTTTCTTCAAGCACTCTAGCACTGAGCTACCTTCCTAGCCCACATCTAGGTTTTTGTTTTGTTTTGTTGCAAAATTTTTACTGGCCTCTTGTCTGGGATAAAGCAAAAAAAGAGATATTAGGGATTTTACTCTTTCCCTTGGATTTCTGCCAAGGCCTGCATTTCATTAATAATGGATATGCTTTGTAGATTCCACCAGAGGGAAACATCACTCCCCACTCCCAATCCCTCCCACTTCCACACCCCACTCTCAAGCACACGTTACCAAAACTACATGGGAAATACTAGGAAACTCAAAAGCACAGAAACAGTGACTTCACAGTGACAAATATGGGAATAGAATAGCTTCAATTTATGAAGCCAAAGGCACTAAGTATTTATACTGAACTAACTAGGTGCTAAGGCTGAATTCCTTTTCTAAGCATTCAGAACACAAAAGCGATGTCTGTAGTCAGACACTGTGGTGTGACAGCCACTCCCTGGGGATATCATCTACCATCACCCTCCCTAGATGGTCAGATCCCAAGTACTTACTTCCTTGTTCCTGCGGGCAGCCTCCAAGGAGACTGAAGTGTGGCTCTTGTGCTCATACTGCCCACATTCCTGACAGATACACTGCTGGTCAGTGCAGCAGAAGGCAACCAATGGGTTGTGGTGGGCAGGGCAGGTACGCAGGTCTTGGTCCTTTGCTGGTTCAGTCAGCTGGTGGCTGTGCAGTTTGCTGTTCTCTTGGTGCGGCCGCAGATGTTCCTCACAGTAATTCACCATGCAAGTTAGACAGGACTTCACTGCCCTCACTCTGCTGGCACCCAGACAGAAGTCACACAGGATCTCCTCCTCCCCTTCACCATTGGAAGCTCCCGGCTGTGCCTCGTCATTGTTCTGTCCCTCAGTCTTCTCTACTGGCCTCCCTAGGTAGCCCACATCCTCTTCTACAGAGCTGGCTGACCCAGAATCTGAGCTGACAGGAGCCATAGGGTAAGTGGTGATGGTGGGCAGTGGCCCCGAAGCCATCAGATCCAACTCTGCCATCTGGGAGGCTCTGCTGCCTAAGTCTTGCTTCCTCTGCCCCTTGGCCCAGGATCTGTGCAGTCCTAGTCAGATCAGAAAGCCACGCCTAAATGATTGCAGCTGCCCCAGGATTTTAACTGTTTCCTCCCTCTTAAGGAAGCTCAGTTACTCTTGGCAGCTCTCCCGATTGGCCAGCATCCAGCTGCGGTGTTTCAGCCTCAAGACTGTGGCTCAGTAGTCTTCTCTCAAACTCAGGCTCCTCCTCTTGTTCTCAGGTCCAGCCCTGAAACTTCTATTCTTATATGAATCATTTATCCCCAATAGGCTCTGCAGGAAACCATGTGTGTTTATGATGGCTTTAAAAAGGACTACAGATTCCAGAGTTCTGCTGTAAGCCTACATAGCTTTGTGTGTTCTCATAAGCTTAACTTTTCACCCACATGTTTTAAAGGGATCTGCAAGGTAAGGACTTCAGCAATGGGACAGCAGTTCCACCCTTCTGTCTCATAGAAATGAAAATGAGGCAGCTAGTGAAACTAAAATAAAGCCGGAATAAGACCCGCCATTTGTGCTGTGCTAGTTTAGCTCAAAGGTAGGGATTTTCTTTGGTTGTTGTTAGTTGTGGGGCTTAAACTCAGGGCCTGGGTCCTATCCCTGAGCTCTTTTGCTCAAGGATAGCTAATACTCTACCACTTTGAGCCACAGCTCCACTCTGGTTTTCTGGTGGTTAATTGGAGTTTCAAGGACTTTCTTAAATGGGTTGAATTTGAACCACAATCCTTAGATCTCAGCCTCCTGAGTAGCTAGGATTACAAGTATGAGCCACCAGTGTCAGGCAGTAAGGACATTTTTCTAGCATAGTGAGACCTTGGGTTCCATCCATTCATCCACACCACAACAAAACTACCAGTAACTAAAGCACTGATTTTGGAGGTCATATAGTAGTTATAGCAGTTACTGGTTACCTCCTCCCCCAAGTATGTAACTATTTTTGGAAATAGGGTCTTCAAACAAGTAACTAAGCGCTGATATAGAAAACACCTCTTGTAGATCAGGATGATAATGGATATATATGTAACTTCTCAGATCTGAAGGCCATTTTTATGGAAACTGTCGGGTGACCTCTGGATGCCAGAGGCCAAAACTCTAGCCTCAGATCATGCTAATGCTTCCATGTTCTTTTATTTATTTTTTGTCAGTCATGGGGCTTGAACTCTGGGCCTGAGCGCTGTCCTCAGCTCTTCAGCTCAAGGCGAGCTCTCTACCACTTGAACTACTACAGTGCCACTTGTGGTTTTCTGGTGGTTTATTGGAGGTAAGAGTTTCACTTTCTGCTCGGGCTGGCTTTGAACCGCAACCCTCAGATCTCAGCCTCCTGAGTAGCTAGGGTTACAGGCATGAGCCACTGGTGCTCGACAATCCTTCTATGTTTTAAACACACATACAATGAAGAACCACAAATGCTGATTCCTCATGCTGAGGCCCCTGACTACCTTCAATTATCTTTTCACATGTTTCATAGCACTTTGCTTCTCTGTGTGTGTGTGTGTGTGTGTGTGAGTTGAACCCAGGGCCTAGGCCCCATTCCTTAGCTTTTTTGCCCAAGGATGGTGTTCTACCACTTAAGCCACATCATTTCCAGCCTTTTGCTCATTAATTGGAGATGTCTTACAGACTTTCCTGCCCAGGCTGGTTTCAAACCAGGATCCTAAGTAGCTAAGATTACAGGTGTTAGCCCTCTATACCATCTCCACCTTGCTTCTTCATCACATACAATTACCTCTACATCCTATCCTTGGGAAGGTAAATTTGAGACTTGGCTCTCCTACCACCTTTGTGCTCAGCTGCCTTGTATTAAGTTGCCTTTCACAAAATGTATTCAATGCGTGCTATATTGTGAGTAAGCAAAACAGGCCTGGTTCAGCAGCTTGAAGAATGTGTTTTTCTAACCCTGACCTTTCCATGTCACTTTGCACATTCCAGAAGCCACATATGTACAGGAGGGATCAGGTGGGTCTGGAAGACCCTGTCTCTTCCACAGGCATTTCTGTTCAGCCTTTCCAGGCCACATATACTACCTGAGACTCCCAAAGAGGGAGGACTGATGAGGACTGCCCTGTTGCCCACATAGTAAGATGGGCACTGGTGGCTCACACTACAATCCTACCTACTCAGGAGGCTGAGATCTGAGGATCACTGTTCGAAGCCAGCCTAGGCAGAAAAGTGTTTGAGATTCTTATCTCCAATTAATCACAGAAAAAGCCAGAAGTGGAGTTGTAGCTCAAGTGGTAGAGCTAGCCTAGAACAAAAAGTTGCTCAGGGACAGCATGCAAGCTGAGTTCAAGCCACAGGACTGGCAAACAGACAAACCAACAAACCACCACCACCAACAACAAAACAATAATCCTATATAGGGTGTGCTCATTTGTTCGGCTACTATAATGAAGTACAACACACTAGTTGGTTCTTGTTCGAACAAAGAAAAAGAAGAAAAGGGGAGCATTCAATGTAGCTAGTTAAAGGCAGGACCTCTTTGTAGAGAGAAACTTCAGGTTAATTATTAAAGGAAATTCTCAGAAGTAGAGACTCAGAGAAAATTAGAGAGTCAGACAAGCTAAGTGAGGTAAATGACAATGAAACTAAGAGCTGGGAAACCTGGAAGGTGGTTTGATTTTAGGTGTGGTAAGTAAGAAGCTTGGAATGTGTTTTGGTAAATGTCAGCTAAACCCTTATTGGGAATGAAATGAAGGGGGAACCTGGAATGTGGTTTTTGCTTCAATGACTTATTGCTTTGCTTTTTTGAGACTGTAATTGTCATTTTATTGACTCCTAGTTCTGCTTCTGTAAACTTGCTTGCTATCACGTACACTGCCACCTGCTCACCTGTGTGTAGCTTTAAAACCCAGCTTCAAGAGAGCTTGGCTGTTGTTCTTCACTGTCCTGATGTAGTGGGGAACAGTCGCCACAGCTAATAAAGATCCCTAGCCTGATTGACTGAGTGTTAGTGACTCCTTTCGCTGATGGTGGGTTCAAGTCCCACTGGCCCCAGGAAGGTGAGATACTTCAGTTCTGACAACAGAAATGGATTTCCTCACAGTTGAGATTGCAAGTATGAGATCAGTATCTTCGTTTTTCAATGGCCTCCCTATTCAGGTGTCCTAAGTGCCTCTTCATACATACTTCAGTGAGACTAGATTAGGATCTACCCTAATAACCTCATTTTACCTTTGACTTGCTTAAAGACCCTATCTCCCAAACCAGTCACATTCTGAGGAACAAGGGGTACCAGTAGTATATTTGGAGACATTTGTACCTAAACATATGAACACAATTTATCCATAACACATGGCCAGAGAATAAGATGGGAATCTCAAGTTTCTTAGAAGAAAAAGAGCTATCCTAGGCATGCTTATGGTATACTCAACATTTGTCTCACAGGTAGGAAGAAACCCAGGATTAGTGCAAAGCACCTGGCTTCCAACTTCTATAATTTGGGGAGGTGCTAAGATTTCCCCCAGGATTTGTTCAGGTCCACATTTGGACTAATGAGATAGAAAGAGACAGGATAGAGAGGGAACAACTGGGTCTAGTTAGCATCATAGATTGGGAGTTGGAATGATTCTAATCTGTTATACTCACTGAGGCTCTGCAGCCCTGCCTGGGATGAATTCTGCAGGACTGGGATTACATTACATAACCCAAGAATATCTTTTGTTGCTGATTAGGACATGTCATAAATCTAAGAAATCCAGGGGTTTCTTAGAATCAGAAAGCATGAACAATAAAAATTCATCCAAGATGAAGCCTTTTTTTTCAATGACACATTGAAGGCTCTTTTAAACAATGTTAAGTTCTTAGCATCCTGTTGTGACTACCCCTTCCACAGCCGAAGACCCTCTTGAAAAGGCTTCCTTGTATTGAATTTCAAGGGTTCTATCCAACTGGCTCACTGAGTCCAAACTACCTTTTCTCTGCCCTCTTGCAAAATTTAGTGCCCCAATATTCATGATGCTTGTACTAGTCTGTTTTCTGTTGCTAATACAAATATCTGAGGCCAGGTACTGAGTAAAAGGGATTTGGCTCCCAGTTTGGGATGTGCTAAGACCAAGATTAGGCAATCTGTTGGCCTCTGGTGGGATCCTCCTTGGCTGCAACAAAAACATGACAGAGCTGGGCGCCCATGGCTCATGCCTGTAATCCTATCTACTAAGGAGGCTCAGAGGATCATGGTTCAAAGCCAGCCTAGGCAATAAAGTCTGTGAGACTCATCTCCAATTAACCACACACACACACACACACACACACACACACAGCACCAGCAGTGAAGCTGTAGCTCAAGTGGTAAAGCATCAGCCTTAAGCAAAAAAAGCTCAGGGACAGTACCTAGGCCCTAAGTTCAAGCCCCAAGATCAGTACAAAACAACAATAAAACAAAAACATGGCAGAGAAGTGGAATGGGAAATACCTGTATGCAAAAGTCAACTATATGACTTAGTCTTGCTATATAACTCACTTTTGTGTGAACTAACCACAGTCTTTTTCTGGGGGCAGCAACCTATTCCAAACCACCATTTCTCAAAGCTTCTAAGTATTTCCATTACACATTGAAGGGCTACTGTCCGATATATATGTACAAGTGGAATCATATAGTGTTTGTCTTTTTTTTTTTTTGGGTCCGGTCATGGGGCCTGAACTCTGGGCCTGGGCGCTGTCCCTCAGCTCTTCAGCTCAAGGCTAGTGCTCTACCACTTGAAGCGCCACTTCCGGCTTTTTTCTTTTTGCTTATGTGGTGCTGAGGAATCGAACCCAGGGCCTCAGGCATGCAAGGCAAGCGCTCTACCACTGAGCCATCTTCCCAGCCCTGTTTGTCTTTTTTTTATAACTAACTTTCCTTGGCATAATGTCCTCAAAGTTCATCAAAGTTGTGGCATGTGACTAAATATCCTAGATTTTGTATTCAACAGAAATCTCTCCCTACAAAATTATGAGCTGATAATCCCACTTCTGCCCATACGTAAAGCTCACTTGCTCTAAGGAGAGAGAAAAGGATGTCTC